TATATATATATATATATGTTTTATAAATTTATATTGAGTACCTAAAAACGGCATATTCCTGTATATATTTATATCAATTATGCCCCTCTCAACGTAGGTACTTCGAACAGTTGGCCAACTCGCTCGGATTACTGAACACCTCCTTGCGCCTACAGCCCAACGGATTCTGGCTTATACGTGATAATGTTACACAATATGTCGATGCGCCCAAACGACTGGATATGAATAAGCTGGCACGCATGACCACCCTGGCGAAGGATATCATCAAGGTGCATATGTTAGATTATTCTTGCTTGCACATTGTTGCTCGAGTGCCACTTTGATGACAAGTGCATGTGCGTTCTCCCTCCCTCTGCATATTACAACATGTTGTTTGCCATCAAGCTGCGCCGAGTATTGATTCACCATCACCAATTCCTCAATGTGCCACACCTGTACTTCATTCTGGGCAGGGGCAAACTGGAGTGGAAGTGGTCGAACGGCTCAGTTTCATTCGCGATAGCGAGCCTAGTTGGCCGTTGTGGATATCTATCTTCACACAACCCTTGTACGCCTGCGGGTTTTGTGTTTTCTTTTTCTCAGGTATGTATATCGCAACACGTCGCAGTTCTGAACATTTGTTTCTCACGGTGGCATATATATGTTGTTGTCTTAGGGTAGCGATTTGTTTGAGCGACAGTATCTTCTGTCTGTTCAAGACTTCCTCTTCCTCTTTTATATCTCGTTCGTTTCCGTAGGCAAATCAATGTCTCTGGATTTACAATCGAGTCCAGTTCCTCAGTGCTACGCCAGTACTGGCGCATTGTCACACACAACACTGGAACGCAGGGGCCCAAGTTATGAACTAACAAGTCCTATTGATGGGCACGACTGAACTTTAACCCGTGCCTTGTACCTCTCTTCTTATATCTATGTGCTGTCTCGTTCACACAGGTGATAGTAAAGCTCTCTTGGCTTCCGCAATCACTGGTCTGATGTCCGGCTGTGTCTTAACGATCATGGTGAGTGCTGTTTGTACAATGCGCTGCCGCTTGTCACGTACGTTCCGCTTTCGCTTTGCTCTGCAGCAGGGGCGCGAAGGCAGGTTTTATGTTATGTAGATTGGCACGTACATATACAGCCGTGTACCATTCGATCACACTCATGACTATTGCCATCTGACTCATAAAAGCGTTTTATCTTCACCCACTTTAGATATATGGCTATCTAAGGCCGTTCATTACAACGTTCCCGTTTTTGACCGCTTTGTCGGTTGGCTTTATAGCGGGTATGCTGGCTGGTTCTGGTACCATGGAGGGGCCTTGCGCCTTCGCGTACTCTCTCGCTTCCACCGCCGGGTATTTTCCGGGTATGCCAAATACTTGCTGTCTGTGATGTGTGGTACATATGTAGTACATTCGACTATCCGCATTTCACTGTTGTAGATAAGGTGCGCTGTATAGCTGCGCCGTCTATTGATGTATATGATGGGCCACTTCCCGTTTGGGAATTAAAAAGGAGGTTTTGTTTTTTACGGGAAAACACTGACAAGCAGACTTCGCACCTTCACGTTGTTAAGAGCACGTCTCAATATAACATCCCTCAAAGTACCGAAATGGATCCCCATGATACTATGATCGCCATACCCTCGCACTCCTGGAATCTTGATACTTCCTGAAATACAACTACCGTACTCTCCCCACACGCAGGTGTGTCGCTTACCTTCAGTGTGGTCGAGATCTCCTATGGCATCCACGTCACCGGTGCCGTGCGGTATATCTACGCTGTGGTGAGTGGGCAGGCCATTGCTGTTGGGTTGTACCTGGGCAATCTCCTTGCCGTCGACTACATCTATGGAGACGCAGTCAACATCATGGTTACCGGCACGTGCGAGGTAAGGTGCTCGCTGTCTTGAGACTTTCATATCTAGCTATAGATATGTGGCGATCAATGCTACCGTAGGCATAGGTTGGCCTTCGTATGTAAATTTCACCCGCTATCCCTCGCGAATCGCTTACAGATCTTTGATGAAGGTTGCACACAAGTCGCTGTCAATGTATCATGTCGATCACTGTTTCCATCGGTGTCAGGATGATGTACATTGACCGTTTCTTTGACATATAATAATGACTCTACCTCCTGCTTCATTCCTTGCGCTTGCTAGACTGGCCTCACCTTCTCCAACCAGTACCGGCTGTTGTTTTACGTCTTCTTGTACGTCGGCGCGGTAATTGTGTACGAGATACCTCGACGGTTCTACCTGCCCTTTCTGGGGTGCCAAGGCAGCACATACTTTGCCTACTATGGCCTGACCAAGTACGGCAATTTGAATTCCGGATTGGCCACATTCATTGCAGTGCTCCTTATGGTGGCGATTTCAGGTGTGTGGTATTCCCCACTGCCGCTGTATCTGTGCGTGTACGCTTGTCTGCTACATGTATATGATGCCATGCACAGCACTTCGCAGCCGGATACAGTCGTAGGTCATTTACTGGTGCCTCTACTAAGCACCAGTCCGGTCAGTGCGGCGTAACACACCCCACGACCACTGTCATCTAGTTAGTCCACACCCACGTCTCTAAAACAAAATGCAGGCCGCCAATCCCTCCGCGTCCGTCGTCTTTTTCGCCGTTGTTTCGGTTGCATCCAGGCACACTCATTCACTATCTCCCCTGTGTGTACTGATCCATTTACTTTCCTGTGTATGTACTCATCCATTAACTCCCCTGTGTGTGTACTCATCCCTCATCTCTGCTGCGCGTGTGCGTGTGTGTGCATGGCCACCACAGCCATTTTCTCGCAGTACGCTGTGCGTCGCTTTATGAGGGCCAAGATGCTGGTGCCGGCGGTGTTGATGGTGCCCACTATCGAACTCCTTGTTCCCGGCTCTTCCGTGGTCAGGCAAATGTACCTGACGCTTCTGGTAAGTAGGCCATGCGGTGATAGGGTCACCCGTTGCACATCTCTTGAGTAGTCCACTGTCTCTGTATGTGTTTGCAAATGTACCTGTCGCTTCTGGTAAGTAGGCCATGCGGGGATAGGGTCACCCGTTGCACATCTCCTGAGCAGTCCACTGTCTGTGCATGTGTTTGCGCGCGCCTGTTACTTTGGACTTGTGCCTGTGACTGCCCAGGTAGAGTGTGCGTGTCGCCCACAGTTGGGCCGTGTTATGTAGTTCTATTTGCATGAGCAACGATGATATATATTGCTGAAGTGAGCGGAACTACTAGCCGTATTCCAATTGTGTATTTGGTATTAAATAGACTGGCTGGGGGTTTGTTTTTTTCATAGCAGCATTTGTAATATGTGCCAGGAGAAGCTGCATGGTATACGATCGCCTTCTGTACTCCTAGGGCACTGATGCATGTGCGCTTCAACTGTGCAGTATCCATTTGGCGATGTGTTTGTTGGACTGGCACTTGCACATGAGCTGTTGCGTAGTGAATGTGGTACTTGGCACAGTCAAAAGCACTGGTCAATCAACACTGTCACTCGTCAGCATCCCACAGACTGGCTGGCGAATGTTCTTCTCACTCGCCTGGTGTCTGTGCTAGACTCCTGGCTGAACAAAAGCTTGGGCTAGTTATCCTGTGGCATGAATGCCATTTGGGTTGTTTCTCTGATAGTATATTCGCCAGTCTGACCCATTGCTTCTGTTGCCTATCTGGACACAGGGAGATCCAGGAGAAGCGTCCCAACAGAACTACGTGTACTATGCCCTGTGTATCACTTTCGGCATCTTGTTGGGAGAGGCGATACTCACCGTTTTCAACCAATCAGGTGTGACCTACTATATAAGTATAATTCAGCATGCTGGCCTGTATGTGTGATGGTTGGTGACCTGTTATATGTACTGGTAGTTATACGACAGGGCGACAAAGAAGCGTGCGGTGTATCGCACTCCACAGAATACTTCTGCGACCATCAGCACGAGTCGTTGGAGACTCTCGCGTGCGGCAGATCATCTCTGCAGCGTTCTCGTATTCCAGGAGCGGCCTTTTCGTTCACTCCGCTGAAGCACATATTCGCATATCTGATGATGTTGTGTTGGTTGTTTAGTATAGCATCCGCCGGCCTTGAGTTGGCTATGTTGCTTCAGGCGTTGAGGAGCATCTGCTCATACTTGTTCGTCCTGCTGCAAAGTTCAAATGCGATGGGGACATTAAACCGTGGAGTGCTCATGACTTATGAACAGTGACATCTACTACACACTCCTGATATACCTCTCTTCATTCATTCACTGTCACAGTCTTTTCTGTTCCCAAGTTCCGCGGCGCCCTCAATTCCGTCCCAGACAACACGCTCAACGATCCGCTGTACATGCGCACTCTCATGCCTGACCAGTTGGGTTACTCGGGGTGTCTCATGATGGTCCACAAGGCTCACCGTGTAACGCAGTTCAAGGACAAGAAACTTGTGGCCGATCCCTACGTGGTTATAGAGAAGGAGGACGGGGAGTTGGTGGGAAGGTGAGTTCTGCCTGCCGCTTCGTACCTGAAGACTAATACTTCAGCATTGCCATGCGCAGATTGAATCCAATCAGGTGTTTAGATATACGTTGTTGGATATATATATATATATATATATTTATAATTTATATTTATAATTATAATTTATTCTTTTACCAATCTCACAATCAAATTGCACAGGACACGCACAGTCTACGATGGTGACGAGGCGCACTGGGATGAAGCATTCATTATGCACATCCCACCAGAAGAGAAATCTAGTTACCAAATCAAGGCACGTGGAGAACGCGTTTTAGCGTAGCGATAGAGTGATGTACTGATCCTTTAAACGTTTACACTTGTATATCGGCGCTTGGGGTGCTAGTAGTATACCTGTATGCCCTGAATGCTGCATCTCATACCGCGGTCGCCCCTATCCTATTTTCTAATGCACAGGTGATGGGACATCAGGCGCTGAAAAACGACATAGTTATCGGATCACTCGACGTGGACTTCTGGTTAGTTTGCGGCTGTGTGCGTGAATCACGCGTATTCTAATGTTTTATATGTTGTTAAATCACGAATAGCCTAATGTTTGTATATGTTGTTAAATCACAAATAGCCTATTGGTTGAATATGTTGTTAAATCACGAATAGCTAAATGGCTGTATATGTTGTTAAATCACGAATAGCCCAATGGTTGTATATGTTGTTAAATCACGAATAGTCTAATGGTTGTATATGTTGTTAGATCACGAATAACTTAATGGTTGTATATGTTGTTAAATCACGAATAACCGAATGGTTGTATATGATGTTAAATCACGAATAGCCTAATGGTTGTATATGTTGTTAAATCACGAATAGCCTAATGGTTGTATATGTTGTTAGATCACGAATAACCTAATGGTTGTATACGTAGTTAAATCACGAATAGTCTAATGGTTGTATATGTTGTTAAATTACGAAATGCCTAACGATTGTATATGTTAGTAGTCGAGCACTGACGAACTTTTTCGCAGTGCCGCTCCTCCCGCGCAAACAACATAGAGGTGTTCGTGCCAGTGAGCCTAAAGGAGAGATGCTGTATTGCAGTATATGGCACCGTATGGTTATGGACGTGATAGGCATTCAAATAATGCGCACTGCCACTTGATGTGTCACACTGCGCTCACCAAAGCGATTGTTCACCCGAACATCTCTCACCTCTGCATTTATCGAGTCTATCTAAACCCAACGCTCCCTCTACCACACCTGTACCCATAAAGTATTAATGATGCGAGGCCAGCGGAACCCGAACCCGAACATGAAGTAGAAAAAACGGCCTTTGAAAGGACATTCAGTAAAGCGTTGCAACGGATGCGTACTACCAACTTCCTGCGCACAAACAGCATGTCGGTGAACAATGCGCGAACCTCAACTATCAAAGAAGAGGACTCCGGTCCGCCTCATGTACCTATGAGGGTATGTTATAACGGTTTATTTTTCATGGTGGGCCTTTGGTCGGAGCGGGCATGCTACACTGTTTTGACTGCTTCAGTTCTGTAAGTGGGCGTGTGGCATGTTGAACCGTTTGTGCGTGAGATGTAGTGAACCAGCTGCATGATTGCTAGATATGGGCATGTGCTTATATTCCTTCATGTTCGAACAGCCCACTATTCCGCTCTACGTTGAATAGTGAACTTACGTCTACGTGTACACACATCGGTGTATATGTATCCTCTACCTGTGTATATCTGCAGGCCACTGTGTGTCGTTGCCAGAGCCCTTAACCATAAACTCTGTTGGACGCCTTGCCTGCTCGCATCCATTCGTATATTGGTGCACCGCCTCGCACGTGACAACATTTGTATTACCTGTTTGTACCGAGTGTTGTCTGTGTGACTGTATGTCTAAGAACACATTTAGCAATAGTGATGTAATTCTAATTAGCCGTGTTTGTGCTAACATCTGTCGACCGCGGCTATCTGTGTTGAATGTACATGGGCGTGTAGCTGCATCGAGAGGATTGGCACATGTGTCGTACACATTCTGTTGCTGTGTTTATGTATGCTTTCTACTGATTTTGATACTTCTACCCTGAACCATGATAATTGAGCAGTCGTTGGTGATTAACGGAGTGCCAGTGCTGAGCGCGCCTTACGACGTTGACCTCAACTCAAGCAGTTGGCAAGTGCTCAACGATTGTGACAGCAAAGGCCAGTTGCTGGTATCTTTCAGGTGAGGCTTGCAGTGCATATATGAGTGGTACAGAGATAGCTACTTAGATAACTATATATATATATATATATATATGTATATATATATATATATATATATATATATATATATATATATGTATATATGTATATTTATATATATATATATATGTATACATATATATGTGTATATA